CAGTATGCTTGGGGTCATTGTCCATTTGGAAGACCCAAGCTTTAACTTCCTGACTGATGTCTTGAGATGTTGCTTCCATATATCCACATCATTTTCCTTCCTCATGATGGCATCTATTTTGTGAAGTGCACCAGTCCCTCCTGCAGCAAAGCACCCCCACAGCAGGATGCTGCCACCCCCGTGCTTCACGGTTGGGATGGTGTTCTTCGGCTTGCAAGCACCCCATTTATTCCTCCAAACATAACGATGGTCATTATGGCCAAACATTTAAATTTTTGTTTCATCAGACCAGAGAACATTTCTGTACGATCTTTGTCCCCATGTGCAGTAGAAAACCGTAGCCTGACTTTTTTATGGTGGTGCTGAGCGGCCATTCTGGTTATGTCGATATAGGACTTGTTTTACTGTGGATATAGATACTTTTGTACCTGTTTCCTCCAGCGTCTTCACAAGGTCCGTTGCTGTTGTTCTGGGATTGATTTGCACTTTTCGCAGCAAAGTACGTTCATCTCTAGGAGACAGAACGCGTCTCCTTCCTGAGCGGTATGACGGCTGCATGGTCCCATGGTGTTTATACTTGCGTACTAGATGAACAGATGAATGTGGTACCTTCAGGCATTTGGAAATTGCTCCCAAGGATGAACCATAATTGTGGAGGTCTACAATTTTTGTTCTGAGGTATTGGCTGATTGGTTTTGATTTTCCCAAACCCACTGGCTCCAGGTCATCTATAAATCACTGCTAGGCAAATCCCCGCCTTATCTTAGCTCATTGGTCACCATAGCAACACCCACCCGTAGTATGCGCTCCAGCAGGTATATCTCACTGGTCATCCCCAAAGCCAACACCTCCTTTGGCCACATTCCTTCCAGTTCTCTGCTGCCAATGACTGGAACAAACTGCAAAAATATCTGAAGCAGGAGACTCTTATCTCCCTCACTAACTTTAAGCATCAGTTGTCAGAGCAGCTTACCGATCACTGCACCTGTACAAAGCCCGTCTCTAATTAGCCCACCCAACTACCTCATCCCCATGTTGTTATTTATTTTGCTCATTTGCACCCCAGTATCTCTACTTGCACATCATCTTCTGCATATCTATCATGCCAGTGTTAATACTAAATTGTACTATTTTGCACTATGTCCTATTTATTGGCTTACCTTCATAACTTACTGCATTTGCACACACTGTATATATATTTTCTATTGTGTTATTGACTGTACGTTTTGTTTATCCCATATGTAACTCTGTGTTGTTGTTGTTTTTATTGCACTGCTTTGCTTTATCTTGGCCAGGTCGCAGTTTTAAATGAGAACTTGTTCTCAACTGGCCTACCTGGTTAAATAAAGGTTAAATAAAAAATTAAATAAAATTCCCATGATGTCAAGCAAAGAGACACTGAGTTTGAAGGTAGGCCTTGAAATACATCCACAGGTACACCTCCAATTGACTCAAATGATGATCAGAAGCTTCTAAAGCCATGACACCATTTTCTGGAATTTTCCAAGCTGTTTAAAGGCACAGTCAACTTAGTGTATGTAAACTTCTGACCCACTGGAATTGTGATACAGTGAATTATAAGTGAAATAATCTGTCTGTAAACAATTGTTGGAAGTGATGCAGAAAATTACATTGATGGAAGTTACAATCTTTCTGCAATATTAAAGCTGATCTACACCCCAAAAAAAGAAAATAAATATACAAAATATTTTAAAAGTGTTTGGGAAGACACCTGACTTTTCTAGTGCCTTTATATGATCAATGGCCCTCTCAAATTGTCCAAAGGTAAATAAAAGTAGGTATTTAATCTCTTACTTACCCTGGGTGATTTCATCTTGATAACTGTCCATATTTATAAACTATATCACAGATGCAGATATCCGATGCTAGTGGGAGTGATCAGATATATTATCAATGATTAATTATTATCTATCAGCTATAAGGGACTACTCCGCAACCAGTAACAAAGCCATTAAAAAATAAAATACAAAAAGTAGATTAAATTGAACAACTATTTTCTTCAAACAAATGCACCAGTTGTCCCTGTCTTGGAAAAAAACAATAGTACATTTACAATGACAGTCATGAATAAAGTATAATAAAGTTCAAATACTTACATTAACAATACATCTCTTTGCTTGTTGTCTTGTTCCTATCAAGTTTTTTAAAGAGGAATGATATGGCTGTGATTTGGATGCACTGATCTCTTATTGAGTTGTCTGGCTTACGTCACCTGCATTTTTGTAACTTGCTTTTCCTCTTCCAAGGAACCAAAAATAAGAGAAGCATTTTTCTTTAGAAATCAATGCACCTCTGCACATTTCTTGTTTCCCAATATATATTTTTTAAAGATGTGTGTATATATATATATATATGTATATATATATGTATTTATATGTATGCATGTGTATATGTATGTACATATATATTTTTTTTGCTAGAAAAAAAAACATATGGGCGATTGGATGTGATGCAGACAATTACATTGATGGAAGTTACAATCTATCTGCAATATTAAAGCTGGTTTGCCCCCTACATTTTTTGTTTGTTTTTAAAGGCAATAGGGTTGCCTCACAAAAACAGGTCTGGATGACAGTTAATGACTCATCAGAAACTGCATACTTTCACTTTCCACTACCTAGCTGTCAGTGGCGGTCAGTGCCGTTTAAGATGAGGGAGGACAATTTGTTTTTAATGATTATGGCCTTATTTCTATTACAGCATATTGGATGACTCTCATTCATATTTCATTCACCCAGTTCAATGTAACAGCAATAGGTTTAGTCTACTACATGATACTCAAACTTTCCCTATACCCATCATGAGGTTGCTACAATCGACAAATTTGAAGTGACAGACAGTGACACATGGACAGACAGTGACATTCAATACGTCGTTGCACACTGTTGCCTGCATCTAGCTGATATAGGATGTAATCATTAGTCCAACGGTTGCTAATGAGAGTTTCTATTGGACAAATTCAGGTATGTTTATCCCCATTTTGTTCTATTTGCTTCCGTTTAAGAAACGTTTTTCAACAGAATCGTCGGAATAAATACACTGCTGATCAAGTTTAAACACAGTTCACTTTAATAGCAGCCACGTTGTATTCCTTTTTGCATCTATGTGCTCTTCTTCTCTCACCTCTTCCCTTCACTTGTTGACATCAATGCACAACACATCAGCTGTATGTGACCAGGCAAAAAAAACTTTCCAAGCCAAACCGCTACACACAGCCTTAATCGTTGTCAACATATTAGCTAAAGTAACGTCATAGCTAATAGAACTAACATGTTAGTGAACCCGCTACAATCATGCAGTAACATTACAGTATAAGGTGAATGCACCAATTTGTAAGTCGCTCTGGATAAGAGCGTCTGCTAAATGACGTAAATGTAATGTAAATGTGTACAGTCAGTAAGCAGTTACACCGGGCCCCGGTGGCAATAAATTAGTAATACCAAAGCTTATTTTGACTTGGAACAGTTCCAGTGTTGTGTTGGAAAGTTATAGCCAGCTAGCTAACATAGCATCCCTCTGTTTGAGCAGGGTGTTTCAGTAGGCTAAACTAGATAGCTGCATTTGCTAGCTAAGTAAGTGGAACTGAAAAAAAAAAAAAAATTATAATTCTCTATTTCTGTCTTGCTTCTCCTTCATTTTGGAAAAAATTAATTTGATCAAAACTGTTCAACTATTGTCTTTCTCTCTCTTTGAGTCAACTACTCACCACATTTTACACACTGCAGTGCTAGCTAGCTGTAGCTTATGCTTTCAGTACTAGATTAATTATCTGATCCTTTGATTGGGTGGACAACATGTCAGTTCACGCTGCAAGAGCTCTGACAGGCTGGAGGACATCCTCCGGAAGTTGTCATAATTACTGTGTAGGTCTATGGAAGGGGGTGAGAACCATGAGCCTCCTAGATTTTGTATTGAGGTCAATGTACCCAGAGGAGGACGGAAGCTAGCTGTCCTCCGGCTACAGAGTGCTGTTGAGGCTACTGTAGACCTTCTTTGCAAAATAGTGTGTTTAAATCAATTATTTGGTAACGTGATTATATTTAGTATAGTTTTATCTAAAAAGGATCACTTTAAATGTTCTACAATTTAATATTTATGAAATTCACTGAGGAGGATAGTCCTCCCCCTTCTCCTTTGAGGAGCCTCCACTGCTAGCTGTTGAAGAGAAATCATTGAACCATTATCTTGTCAGGATAATTTAATTAGTTCACTATAGGTGGTAGAAGGTTCCTGTTGTCAGACTGGAGTAAATGATTGGCAGATTTTGGCATGCCATTCATGGTCCAAATGCTTTGTTTTACAGCCTCTGTCCGGCTTTAACGAAATGTACCATGACAAATCTGCTAGAATGTACCATGAGAACACTTCACAAACAGAACACTTTTATTGTGTGACAGAGTGAATTATGGCATGGTGCGGTGAACATAAATATTTTGCAGGCAAAAACAAAACTCCATCCACTGAACAGAAATTTAATTTATTTTAAAACTGTTGCTGTGGACTTTGCTACTGGTTCTTGCTCTGGCGGTGGACTGTTGGGATGTCCGTTCAGGAGAAGGAAGATGTCATGGGATGTTGGGGCGGCGCACAATTGGCCCAGTGTCGCCCATGGTAGGGAAGGGAATGGCCGGCAGGGATGTAGCGTGGGTTCGATTCCCACGGGGGGCCAGTATAAAAAAAGTAAAAAATTAAAAAAAAAGTATGCACTCACAAACTGTAAGTCGCTCTGGATAAGAGCGTCTGCTAAATGACTAAAATGTAAAATGTAAATGTAAATGTTGGAGGTGTGCTGTGGAGACTTTACTCCTTGAGTGCCATGTGCATACACAAGTCAATAACACGGTTGCTATAGCCGTACTCATTGTCTTACATATGGGAGAGGGAGCGTGAGGAAGGAATCCTTATAATGTATATAAATATTCAAAATTACTGCATTGATTGTGTGTGTGTGTTGAGGGGGTAGGTCTGGATACATACCATGAGACCAGCTTGACAAAGTGGTCATTGAGTGCAATGCCTGCGCCGGCGTCGAAGATTGAGGAACGTTTGTCGCCGTTGAAGTCAGTGGATACCACCTGTGGAGGGGAGAGCAATAGGCTTTAGGCTCATTATGTGAAAAACAGAAATGAACAGAAATTTTTGAGTTTAGGTATTGCATCATATGACCTTGAGGCTCAGCACATGAGAGCAGGGAAAGCTTGGGCCCTGTTCAAGTAGTCATAAAATGCATCCTTCCTTATTTCCTTTATTGTGGTAATCACTGACATGACATGATTAGGGACAGCAACACAGAACCTTGGTCACACCTATCAAATCATGTTCGATCAGTGATTTCTATAAGTATGGAAGGAATTATGGGTCTTGGAATGGGAAAATATTTACCTGGTCCTCTGTGTATCCCAGAATTCCTTTCATGTGTCCTTTGGAGGCCTCCTTGATGACTCTCTTGATCTCTTCATAAGGGGCCTGAGGCAGACAGGAGAAAACATTACATGTACGACAAGAATGTTGATACCCATCACGAACATGGGGGCATTGGCGCTGGGGGCGGAGATGATGACCCTCTTGGCACCTCCCTGCAGGTGAGCCTGTGGTGGTGGTGGGTGGGGTGAGAGGTCAAAGGGTACGTCTGTGTAACAACAAATACACAGCATCAAGGCTGCCTTGCTTGATTCAGTCACATACAGCTGATGATATGCAAAATTGGTAGTCTGGATGCAAAAATGAAGATATCAATGTAAACAATTTACAGCATAAAAATACATACAGCATTGTGCTCACTTGCTGATCACCCACAACCTTATAGCTATGAAGTCCTAAGAAATATATATTTTTCACAGAATTCAAGTATAGACCATTGTCAATGACCTACTGCTAGCGAAAAGAGGTACTTACAGAGGCCTTGTCGATGGTGGTGAACACAGCAGTAGACTCCACAACATAGTCAGCTCCAGCATCGCCCCACTTGATCTGGGAAGGGTCCCTCCTGAAGATGACAAAGAGATAGGAGAAGTTAGGATTATACCATAAAACTAGGGTTAGAATTACAGAGGTTCTGTGCACTCCCATAACAATCCAGGGATGGGAACCTGAAGTGTTACACCATGAGCACACACACACACACACACACACACACACACACTAGCCCACTGCTAAGGGACTCCCAAGAGTCAATGTGGATGTTTAAGAAACACAGACAAATCTTCATATTGCCAAAATAAATGTATAACCCAGCAATTTGATTCTGTGCAAAACAGTGTATCTGAAAAATGCACAGTGTCATTTCAAACCCTGCACAAAATAAGCCAATGTATGCACCTGGAGCATTAGTAAAGAAAAGGAAAAACCCTTACTCATGGAAAACTGTGATGTGCAGGTTGCCAATGACCAGCTTGCCATTCTCTTGTCTCACTTCACTGTGCTTCCAAACACTGTGGGTGGAGTCATATTTGAATATGTAGACCTATGGAACAGAGGCAAGGGTAGAGAGCTGGTCAGTGATATTACATACCATCTTTAGGGAGGTGTTGAATATGTGTACAGTAGACTTGTGCACCTGAGATATTTATTGAGTTTAATGGGAACAAACCTGACCTACTCAAGGTCTGACTTCAGTCAAATAGGTTTATATTTCTCAATTTATTTCAATTTCCATACATTTTAATTGTATATTTGTCAGTAGCTATATAAAGTTCTCACTATGTAGTCCAGGTTGATAAAGGGGTCATTGATGGCAACAATGTTGACCTCTCCGCTCTTGGCGGCGGCACGGGTCACCAGGTGCCCAATACACCCAAATTCGAGAAGAGAAATCAGATAGTTTTACAGTTAATCCACATGTATCCATGTTACCACACCATACCTGCAGGTGGCAGCAGCCCTTTACTGTCATTGACAGCTCTACAAGGCCTGCCAACCCTGACTGATAACAAGACTTGACATTTGCTGCCCAGAGCCTTTGTTTATGCCTAATATGGTTGGGTTGGTGCAGCGTGCTGACCCATACAACAGACAAGTGTGGGTTAAGAACACAAATTGTAGAAGCAGGGAAGGGGCCAGGCTGGTCAGTGTAACATTTGTAGTTCGACTATGCAGTAGTCTGATGTCAAGATTAATCAACGCTCCACACTATCAGTTGTGTATATCTAGCTCCCTCAACCCCAAATTAATGGAAAAGAGCAGTACCGCAAATTACATGGTGCGCATCTGGGGTAACATGAACTTCTCAAAAGAAGACCACTTATAATGTATGAAAACATTTCAGGAACTTTGAGTGTAATGCCCCTTAAATGCCCAGTTGCAACATAACTTGGGTGTAAAGTTTAGTGGAATACATACTGTATGTATACTGTATGTACGGTATGCACTGTTCCCTTTACTGTTTAACTCGAGCAGTCTACTGATAGGACTACATTAGTCAAATACTGTCAATGCTGGAGACTTAAGTCATCACCACTCACAAACGGTTGAGAAATGTCTAGACTGCAATATGGCAAATAGTCTTGCAGCCAGCTAGTGAAAAAAATATATGTTTCGTGGTATATACAGTACCAGTCAAAAGTTGACACACCTACTCATTCCAGGGTTTTTCTTTATTTTTACTATTTTCTACATTGTAGAATAATAGTGAAGACATCAAAACTATGAAATAACAGATATGGAATCATGTATTAACTAAAAAAGTGTTAAACAAATCGAAATATTTTAATATTTGAAATTCTTCAAATAGCCACCCTTTCTTTGCCTTGAAGCCAGCTTTGCACACTCTTGGCATTCTCTCAACCAGCTTCATGAGGTAGTCACCTGGAATGCATTTCAATTAACAGGTGTACCTTGTTAAAAGTTAATTTGTGGAATTTATTTCCTTCTTAATGCGTTTGAGCCAATCAGTTGTGTTGTGACAAGGGAGGGGTGGTATACAGAAGATAGCCCTATTTGGTAAAAGACCAAGTCCATATTATGGCAAGAGCAGCTGAAATAAGCAAAGAGAAACGTCAGTCCATCATTACTTTAAGACATGAAGTTCAGTCAATCCGGAAAATTTCAAGAACTTCGAAAGTTTCTTCAAGTGCAGTCAAAAAAAACATCAAGCGCTATGATGAAACTGGCTCTCATGAGGACTGCCACAGGAAAGGAAGACCCAGAGTTACCTCTGCTGCAGAGGATAACTTCATTAGAGTTAACTGCACCTCAGATTGCAGCCCAAATAAATGCTTCACAGAGTTCAAGTAACAGACACATCTCAACATCAACTGTTCAGAGGAGACAGAGGCCAAGAAACACGAGCAATGGACATTAGACCGGTGGAAATCTGTCCTTTGGTCTGATGAGTCCAAATTAGAGATCTTTGGTTCCAACCGCTGTGTCTTTGTGAGACGCAGAGTAGGTGAACGGATGATCTCCGCATGTGTGGTTCCCACCGTGAAGCAAGGAGGAGGAGGTGTGATGGTGTGGCGTGCTTTGCAGGTGACACTGTCTGTGATTTATTTAGAATTCAAGGCACACTTAACCAGCATGGCTACCACAGCATGCTGCAGCGATACGCCATGCAATCTGGTTTGCGCTTAGTGGGACTATCATTTGTTTTCAACAGGACAATGACTCAAAACACACTTCCAGGCTGTGTAAGGGATATTTGACCAAGAAGGAGAGTGATGTTACTGCATCAGATGACCTGGCCTCCACAATCACCTGACCTCAACCCAATTGAGATGGTTTGGGATGAGTTGGAACACAGAGTGAAGGAAAAGCAGCCAACAAGTGCTCAGCATATGTGGGAACTACTTCAAGACTGTTGGAAAAGCATTCCTCGTGAAGCTGGTTGAGAGAATGCCAAAAGTGTGCAAAGCTGTCATCAAGGCAAAGGGTATAACTCTTTTTTGGTTACTACATGATTCCATGTGTTATTTCAAAGTTTAAATGTCTTCACTATTATTCTACAATGTAGAAAATAGTAAAAAAATAAAGAAAAACCCTTGAATGTGTGGGTGTGTCCAAACTTTTGACTGGTACTGTATATATTGACCAATCAAGTCCACTGACAGTGGATGATAAAATCTTTGTGATTAAGGAGTTGGTATGATGATCATTGTTATAATGGAACACATTGGAACTTTGTCCAGTGACACAAGCAGATAAACCCCCAACTAAAATGAGTCCCGAACAAAAGGGTCAATGTATGGCCCAGCAAAGGAGTCAATGTATGGCCCAGCAAAGTAGTCAATGTATGGCCCAGCAAAGGAGTCAATGTATGGCCCAGCAAAGGACTCAATGTATGGCCCAGCAAAAGACTCAATGTATGGCCCAGCAAAGGAGTCAAAGTACATCAGAAAGGAGTCAATGTAAAGTATGTCAGAGAACCCAAGGTGAAAAACAAGTGTTTGGTAACAGTTTGGTCAAAAAGTCATTTTGTTCTGCGCCCAGTTTCCCAAAAGCATCTTAAGGATCCCATGGTCCTATAGTTCTAAGATTAAATTAGCCTTAATGTCACAGGAGGTTGGTGGCACCTTAATTGGAGAGGATGGGCTCATGGTAATGGCTGGAGCAGAATCAGTGGAAGGGTATCAAATACAGCAAACACATGGTTTCCATGTGTTTGATGCTATGCCGTTCGCTCCGTTCCAGCCATTATTATGAGCCGTCCTCCCCTCAGCAACCTCCTGTGCTTAAGATGCTTTTGGGAAACCGGGCCCAGGTCAATAAAGTTACGTCATAACTATACTCCACAAACCATTTTTCTATGTGTCAACAATATTGTCTTTGCTGGAACTGTGAACAGTCAACATAATCAATTAGTCAGTCATTACTAGACATAATTTATTTACCATACTAAGGTTGATCAGCAAGAGTGAAATATCAATCTCCAAGGCACAGTGTTTGGTCTTTCAAGTAGGTACAGTTAAACATTCAGGTTGATTTGGGGAAAGGGCCTATCATAACAAACTTTAATCTTCCTTCAGCTCAGTGACAGCTGCTGATTGGTCAAATAAAGGTTAGAGGTATATGATTGGTCTAACAGCTCATCCAAACAGTCTCAGTGTGACCTCTGAACTTTAGCTGAAAAGGTTAGCGGGATATTATTACATGGCTAGAATAAAGGAATGTGACAGCTGAGGAGAGATACAAGAGTGTTGCAGAGAGGCGATTAGAAATAAGTAGGAGAATGGTAGTGGCCAGACCAGGGTCTTATTCATTAGCAGCACCGTGGCAAGAAAATTGCAATGGAAAATGAAAAGCAGCATCTTATTGGACAAGTTCAGGTAGTCCATTCTCATTTCGGCCTGTTTCCTTCGGTTTCGTTTCAAGTGAAAACTGTACAACCCAGGCTTGTGAACTTAAGAGCAAACGCTTATGGTATGTACAGTACAGAAGTGCAAAGCAATCCAGGGTCTATCCTGTGACCCGATCCTGTCAACAGCCATTCCTTATGTTCTCTTTAAGATATATGCAATTTTAAATATTCCAAATTTGCCCAGTGACAGAAGCAGACACACCCCCAACTAAAAAAGGAGTCCTACATATACAGTGAGGGAAAAAAGTATTTGATCCCCTTCTGATTTTGTACGTTTGGCCACTGACAAAGACATGATCAGTCTATAATTTTAATGGTAGGTTTATTTGAACAGTGAGTGACAGAATAACAACAACAAAATCCAGAAAAATGCATGTCAAAAATTATATACATTGATTTGCATTTTAATGAGAGAAATAAGTATTTGACCCCTCTGCAAAACATTACTTAGTACTTGGTGGCAAAACCCTTGTTGGCAATCACAGAGGTCAGACGTTTCTTGTAGTTGGCCACCAGGTTTGTACACATCTCAGGAGGGATTTTGTTCCACTCGTCTTTGCAGATCTTCTCCAAGTCATTAAGGTTTCGAGGCTGACATTTGGCAACTCGAACCTTCAGCTCCCTCCACAGATTTTCTATGGGATTAAGGTCTGGAGACTGGCTAGGCCACTCCAGGACCTTAATGTGCTTCTTCTTGAGCTACTCCTTTGTTGCATTGGCCGTGTGTTTTGGGTCATTGTCATGCTGGAATACCCATCCACGACCCATTTTCAATGCCCTGGCTGAGGGAAGGAGGTTCTCACCCAAGATTTGACGGTACATGGCCTCGTCCATCGTCCCTTTGATGCAGTGAAGTTGTCCTGTCCCCTTAGCAGAAAAACACCCCCAAAGCATAATGTTTCCACCTCCATGTTTGACGGTGGGGATGGTGTTCTTGGGGTCATAGGCAGCATTCCTCCTCCTCCAAACACGGCGAGTTGAGTTGATGCCAAAGAGCTCGATTTTGGTCTCATCTGACCACAACACTTTCACCCAGTTCTCCTCTGAATCATTCAGATGTTCATTGGCAAACTTCAGACGGTCCTGTATATGTGCTTTCTTGAGCAGGGGGACCTTGCAGGCGATGCAGGATTTCAGTCCTTCACGGCGTAGTGTGTTACCAATTGTTTTCTTGGTGACTATGGTCCCAGCTGCCTTGAGATCATTGACAAGATCCTCCCGTGTAGTTCTGGGCTGAGGGAGATTGACAGTTATTTTGTGTTTCTTCCATTTGCATATAATCGCACCAACTGTTGTCACCTTCTCATCAAGCTGCTTGGCGATGGTCTTGTAGCCCATTCCAGCCTTGTGTAGGTCTACAATCTTGTCCCTGACATCCTTGGAGAGCTCTTTGGTCTTGGCCATGGTGGAGAGTTTGGAATCTGATTGATTGATTGCTTCTGTGGACAGGTGTATTTTATACAGG